AGAGAATAGGCAAAAACATTCTAGTACATTTAATTTGACATACGTAACATAACGACATCATATCATTAATACGCGCGTTGCGATGTTTACTTTTTATTGACATACAAAAAGGAACAGACATCATAATATTGGTATGTTATATATAATACATGATTCTTTGCCCTTTAATTGTGACGCGAATTAAATTCTTAAATGTAATTGAATTCCATTCCATCAGTTTTAAACCTGAAATGGTAAGATCAAAAAAAATGTCAAACTGTGAAAATGGTAGATCAAGAACCAATCAACTTGTAATAAAAATAAACAAAAGTAATTAATTTCATTGTACTTAAATAATAATAAAATCATATAGCAGTTGTGATTATACATTTGTGATTAAATTGCGGCTTAATTCATTGGAGACTTCAGATATCATCATATTACGTTAAATTAAAGGGTTATTCTCGATCACCGCGTTATTCCTAGATGACCAAAAGGGTCAAACAAGAAATAAACAATATAAAAGTTGTTAAATTAGTCAAACTATTTATTTGACGATCAAAAAGCCATTATTTACCAAAGAAGGTTAGTTAGGCTTATTGTTTCACCTGACACCATAACAAACTTTTCTCATCATGAAAAAAAAAAATATAATGTCGAAAGATTTAAGAAATTAAAAGCTTCAAAAATCTTTTTGTTCTTTATGTTGACGGATAAGGGGAAAAGAGAATAATAAAATAATAGGGCACCGTTTTGGGAAATTTGATGCACCACACTCATTTATCGTAAATTCCAAATAATTCAATGGTTAAATTAAATATAGATGTGAACAGCGTTCGCAACAATGGCTAATGCGGGTTTATGAAAGTAGTTTAGTAATTGGGTTGTTGATGTTTCGCAATACTAAATCGTCTATTAAAGTCTAACAATGCTTTTTTCTTAAAAACGGATTTTGTTACACTAATTCACAGTAAATGCGGTAGATCTCGAAAACTTGATTGGATAATGAGTTAAATGTCTGAGGTATTGACAATATCGGGACTTGTTTTTTTATATTATAATAAATGATTAATTATATATGATTAAATTAATTAAAATAACACAGTTATTTTTTGGAAACAATAAAAACTCTGGTAAAACTTGCAGCTGGCTTCAGTTTCCTTTGCTTCTTTGCTGGTACCTCCTTTTTTACCAATATCGATACGCTAAGATAGTACAGCTTGTTCACTATCACAGCTATTTTGGACACTTTCCTTAAATACCGCCTGTAAATTCCTAAATTTAACGTTACGGCATAGAACGTGACGAAAATTTTTATTGGAATTTTCAAAAAAAAAAAAAAACCACCACAAAGAAGCATCCGTTTATCAGAGATTTTAACGGGTGTATGCTCCTTGAATGAATAGACGTTAGTGATTTAAAAAAAAAAATATTTAAATTTTTTTTTTGCCATAAAGAAAACATGTCAATAAACACAACGGATGTTTTTGGAGACCCATACTCCGACCCTTCCATTCCTTATGAAGAATTTCCGGAAAATCCAAAATTTGGAGAAGATGTTGCTAATTACAATCAGAAAAATTTATTCAAATACTTGAACTCATATCTAAGCACAATTAGCGTAATAGGAGGTTTAATAGTGCTGGTTATAATAATTTTCATGTATTTTTATGATAAGAAACTTGTGAATCGTGTTTCGCTAAGACTTTCCGCTATGATATCGTTCGTTGACGTTTTGTCCGGAGTGACCGTAATTGCGTATGCATACTATCAACCTCGTGAAACTCCTGAATGTACTAGCATAGCGTTTGGAATGTCCTTCTTCCCGCAGTTATACCTCTTCCTAACTGTTATGATCGCATTCAATTTACAGGTAATGCAAATGCGAGAAATTATAATTATCAAAATTGTACGAATTTAACGTTAACGCAATTTTCTTTAAAACCTATGTAGATAGTTTTCCTTCATCGCAAAAAAGTGTCCTCATTTTCGGATCGATGGTACATCCCCGTAGCATTTTTAATGGCAATTTTCATAAACATTCTACCTTTGGTGTATCACAAATTTGGCTATGATCCCGACACAAGGGATTGTATTTACCGTCACATGTATGACAGAGATACAAAATGGTGGAAGTTTGCCACTTTTCTCATTCCTGTATCAATATCAATGATTTATTGTACCACAGTGTTGACAATTGTCGTATGTAAATTGGTTTTTGAACACAGACAATTGGCCGAAGCGATTCATTCTCAGAATAGCGTGACGTTATCGGCCAAACGTAGGCATAAACTTTTACTGTTAAAATTAGTTGGTAGGATTGCGCTATACGCCGCGATCCCCCTTCTTACTGTTTGTGGAATTGTCGTAGAATATGTTTGGATATCTTTACATGCAAATTCCGAGAATGATGTACCAATGGCATTAAATTATTGGGCTATTGTTGGATCTTGTTTGCCCGGTAAAGCTCTTTTTTTTTTTTAAAAAAAAAAAAAAAAAAATTATCGACCTTGCCCGCTAATTTTTTATTTTATTTTATGAATAGGATTCTTTAATTGCATCGCATTTCTTTTCGACCCTGCAATTCACAATGCTTTTCGAAGAGTTAAAAAAGACCTTATTGAGAAATACGGTTATCCAAAGCGTGCGACAATCAGTCCTCCGATGTCACCATCGGATGCAGTCTTTCCAAATTCACCAACACAAAATCCGAGACCTTCACATTTATTACCACCTTCGCCGTCAAATCATCCAACACTCGCAACGCGAATCTCATTTACGAATTCTCGAGTTAGTCCAAGTAACTTCTCCAAACCAAAGAAAAACAATCGATTCATACGATGGTTTGTCCGAAAATTCATGGACAAAAAGGTAATAATACAACCTCCTATGGTTTTATTAAATTCTACGAGTTTCCTTTCTACAACCCTTGGATCGGATCAAGGATGTAGATATAGTTCGACAACGGTTAATTCTGGTACATTAACCGGTCAAAGCTTTGATCATGATCATGATTATCATAGAATCGAATTAAATAGTCCTACTGATAAAAGAATGAAGCGAACGTCACACGTGTTAAATATCCCTGAACACGAAAGTCCCAATTCAACGAATCTTGAATATACAAACTTAACGTCCGTAACTGGCAATAGTCTCTCTCCCACATCTGCTTGCAATAGTCTTGGGGATAGTTCCCGTCTACTTTATGAAAATTGTTCTTTTGGCTCATACTCACAATCTCCTATTCTGGGAAATAATACAATCGATATTCAGTATCCCGTGTCCCATTTCGAAGCAGGTATCCCATCACCTTTATCGGGCGTTTCTTCGTCTCATAGGAGATCAGAGTCGGAATCCTCTACCGCCTCTCGAGATTCGGTTGACAATGACTTGGCGGCCTATTGAAACGAATCCATACAACGTTATTTTGATTTTTTTTTTTTAATGGCCAACCCATCATAACTTGGAAAAAGTCTTTTATCTCTTTATATTTATTCCTTGCGCTCTTTTTTCTTTTGTCCTTTCCTTCATCATACCGAATTCGTCTGATTAAAAACAATTATTCGATTACACTGCCCCCCGACGACAATATGTTCAAATTATGCATTTAAATATTCCTCCATCCTATAATAATTCATCCAATTGTAAGCATTTACATTCCATAATTTATATTTTTTTTTTTAAAAAAAAAAAAAAAGAAAGAAAAAAGGATTTATATCTATTTTTTTTTTTTTTTTTTTTTTTTTTTGTTGTATATAGTAACGTTTATAATATAAATTTATTGTAATTTATTTTTATTTTTATTTTTCTGTTGTTTGGGACGTTGTATTTGTTTTCTTTTTCTTTTTTTTTATATATATATATATATATATAGTAATTAATAGAGATTAGGAACGGCTAAATTTTTTTTTTATTGTTGGTTGGTTGTCATGGCGACCTTTTCATTTTATTCATTTAATTAGTAACGATATTTGTATTTATAAATTGGTTCCAAAAATAATAAAAAAAATAAAAAAATAAAATCATATTAAAAGGAAGAAAGAATATGCGGAAAGAACATTCCCATTACATAAGAGGAGGTAGTTTCGACTATGCTTTAATTGGAATCGAGTCCAAACGAAGAGGATTTCTTTCCACTTGGCTTACTTAGTTAAGCAACAATACTTCTTATCTAAGCAGATTATGGGCATTCATCTAATTGGTTTAGGGATCCTGTTAGAATAAACATTCCTAATAAGGAGTTGAATGATAAATTGATTCGGTAGATTTAATTGTTCATGAAACTCCGAAATATAATTTACTTATTTAAAAGTATTATAAATAAGCAGTATAGTACAAAATATATATTCTAAAAAAAAGTTTTTTTTTCTATGTTTTATTGATGTATAAATGAATTCTTTATGAAATGATAGATGATATATGATTCGAATAAGCAATACATTAAAAAAAATATATATACGTATACTAAAAAATGTGATGAAAATTAAATAAATGTTTGTTAAATTTCTACATTAGAAACAATTAATTCGAGATATGGATCAGGTTTGGAAAGGAAACCGACTTTTTTCTTCATAGCAATTGGTCCAGTTTGAAAAACGAAATTTCTAACCAACATGCTTAATACTATTTTAAATTCACTTGTGGCTACTTTGCTACCTATACAAGATCTAACACCAGTATGGAAAGGTAAATAATTATAATTGGTGACATTTTTAATTAAAGAAGGGTTTAACCATCTTTGTGGATCAAATTCATCAGCCGTTGGTCCCCATATTGAAGGTAATCTATGAAGTGCTGTGATCGGGATATCAATTTGAGTATCCTAAATAAAAGTGAGTATATGTCGTTAGACAAATTTTAATAATTTAACAAATATAAAAAATAAAGATTAAGGTTCATACCTTTGGAATAAAATGTCCACCAAGGACTCTGTCTTCGGTATTATATCGGGTAATGCCAATTACTATAATAAAATTACAAATAAATACAATGATATAAATTTAACTCGTTAAAAAAAAAATTCATTCATACCTGCAGGAACTAATCTTAATGTTTCTTTAATTATACAATTTAAATATTCCAAAGAATTGATTTCATCAAATGTGGGGTTAAATGTTGATTTGTCAGGGAAAGCTTTAACTAATTCTTCACGCAATAGATCTTGCTCACGTGGATGTTTTGCAAGGAAATATAAAGCCCAACTTATTGAGTTACTTGTAGTTTCTTGTCCCGCTAATAAAAATGTCATGATCTAAAATTTCCAAAGAGAAAGAAAGTAAATAAATAATAAAGATTTATCGCAATTAACCTTTTACAAGAACTGTGTTACTGTACCTGATCCCTTAGTTCTCCTTTTGTCATCTTTTCTTCTTTGGGTAAATCGTTGTTGATCTTTATTAATAAGCTTAGCAAATCATTTCCATCCAATTTGTCGTTACGATATTTCTCTTCCATTAACTTTTCCGACTCTTGGCTAATAACTTTACATGCATTATTAAATTTTTTATTCATGGCTATTGGAAATTTTCTGATCGGAACATAATTAGATAACATTCGAATAGTAAAGGTTAAAAAAGATGGTTTGGTATTTAAAAGTGAATCATAAGCTTCCGCCAATTTGCTTGGAGAGGTAAGAGTGTTAAATTCGTGATTAAATCCTATAAATAAATTAATTAATTTATTTATTTTCAAATAAAGAAATAAAGAATTATACAAATGTTGAAAATATTTTCTTCCATACCAACTAAGCCAATGACATCCAAAGTAGTTTTTGATAAATAGGTAGAAATAATGATTTTCGATTCTCCTTTATTTACTTTGTCTTCGATCAACCCCTTTAACGTAAAGGCTACGCGAATAAATGATGGAACCATACCCTTAAATTGTGTAAGAAAAAGGAAATTGAATTTGATATCAAGTTAAGCATTATTAAGTTCATTAAAATAAACAATTACATACCTTCACGTTAATATGAGTGAAGGCAGGATTCATCATTTTTCTCTGTCTCTTATGTTTATCACCTTCTGCAAGAAAAAGACCGTCCCCAATAATACGTTTAAGTTCTCCCATGCTTTCAGGTTTAGGAAAATTGTATACTTGATTTGAGACAATTTCTTGTATGATTTTTGCATCGCTGATCAAAAGAGACGGCCTATTTAAAAAACCATGATATTTTACAAAACTTCCGTATTGTTTTACCCATCTAACATATGGTTCACCAGACTGTATAAAGAAGATAAAGAAGAACAAATGAAACAATGTTGTCAATTAAAGATAAAAAGGTTGAAATATATTAAACCGAACTGACCTCCTCAGTGATGAAAGATTTAAAGTTTCCAAAAAACAGATTTTTAGTAGGTGGCCCAGGAATTTTTCTCAAGGGAGAAATATGGTAAGGATAAATATATACTTTATAAGTAATCCAACCTATAACTCCCAATACGACACAATTAACAAAGGTACTCGGATCAATCATGTTTGTTTATATTTTAAGAAAAGAATTACTTGTGATTTGTTAATGGATGTTTTATAATTATGAGTTGAATACAATTAGATCAGACTAGTGCGATGGATTTTTTGAAATCGCAAGAACTTTTATTTATATACATTTTTAAAGGTTCGGTAGATCTAATTTTCCGTGAAAAATGAATCATTTTGACTATCATCTTAATCCTATATCGTAAACTGTGCCCACTCATTTTTTCAATTCCGATTTTTATAATGAGGTTACGGGCATAAATATTATTTATTTATTGCCAATTGTTATTTAGGGATTGTTTTGATTGCTTTGTAAAATGATTAAATAATTTCTTTGTTTGGTTTGGAAATTATTTGGTTTAATTAACGTTAACCGTAGTTAACTGTACTAATTCATTAAAAAATGAAATTCTAGAAAATTTAATTATAGATTTTCCCATAAATAGATGAATGTCGATCATCCCGGAATCCAACCTCCTCGTTATTTTTGTTTTTGTCTTCCATATGGACGGTCTAAAACTAAGACATTCACAGCCAGATCAAGCGAATGGAGTAGGTCCGGATCCGGTAGAAATTCTTGACGAACAAGGTTTCTTTTTCTTAAATTTCCTTCACCACTTTTTTCTTTATTGTTGGAAGTTAAATCGTAACGAAATTTATATAAGGACAAGAGGAAGTTATTGAAGAACTTCGAAGGCAAAATGATTGGGCTAATAGTCTTTTCAAGGTATTTCATTATTTACATTTCTATAAATTCATTCTGCAACATTTATGTTGAGTTTCATATTTATGAAATATTTAGAAAGCCTTGGCCTTTGTTTCATCATTGATATTGATCTTGTAAGTTAAATCCTTTTTTTTTTCTCTTTCTCTCATGGATAACATATCAACTTTTTTTTTTTTTTTTAGACATTTAATTTTCATATATGAAATTATGTCATCAGCATCAAATCCCATTATTCCTTTCCCAATCTATGAACATATTTATTCAAATGCATCATACAAAATGATTGCGACATTATCATCAATTGGAGCTTTAGTATTTTCAATATTTCTTTTACAAGCACCAAATGTTACCATGATTCATATTTACGCGGGTGCTTTCCTTTCCATAATTCCAAACCTTTTAGCGATACATACTGAAAGGATGGAAAAATTATGGTGGGCCATACCACTTGGATTGCTAATTTTGGATACGATTGCATTGTTTTTAATCAAGGATTCAGAACAAGATATCAGGAGTCTAGAAAAATTGAAATATAAATACAAGGGTGCATAGTTTAAATATTTTGACCATTTTTAGTATAAATGATAATTTTACGGATGAGGTTTTTTTTTTGACATTTATTAATAAATAAACATTAGATCGCGAACGATCATAACAAATTTTTAGTAAAATTTTCAAAATGTATCATTTTTTATCTAATATGATACACATCAAAAATAATAAATCTAAATTATTATTTTAAAAATTTATAAACTATTATTTTTTTTTTTTTTTTTTTTTTTTAAATAATATATTTTATCTTTTTAGAAATCATATTTCTTTTTGTTTTCCCAGTAACCTTGTCCATAATTGACAAAGATTTGTTCATGGACCTATGTATTGTATTAAAATTCAAAGGAGGAAGATTTTTTTTAGTATAATGATTTTGCGATGAACGTGTGCTGAATCATGATAATTACCTTGACATCCATTTGTGCGATGTAAAGAACGTGCCAAATATCATTATAAACAACGTAAAGTTGATCACCATTTTGAAGTTCTAATGTTTAAACACGATCAGTTAGTACAATTTACGATCAAACCTAACTTAAAATTCACAATTATTAACAACTTACTATCTCTGTGGTTGGCAAACCGCATATAGTTTCCTTGGTGTTTCGCATCAATACAAATCCTTACTTTCTTTCCTTCGTCATCTTTGGCTTCCACAAGATAATTAAATTCCCAAGCTAATCATCGGAAATTAAAATTAATAAATCTAATCGATAAATTCAATTAGATAAAGGCGGGACATGAATGAATGCATTATGCTCACCATATTCTAGGTCGGTGAGTTGACGCGTTACCAATCCTATATAATTTATATTTATAAAAGTGATTAAAATGAGAGATGCCAAAGTTTGATCTCTGAAATGGGAATCATGATCTTACCAGCATAGATTCCTAACACGTCTCTTCTTTTGAAAGGTTTGGCAGCATACATGCCATATTTTACAATATCATTAATCCAGCGAATATAAATTCCTCCATCATCAACAAAAGTTCCATTTCCAACTTCAAATTTCATCTTTTCAACAATTGGGGCATAATTATCGGTTTCCCTGAGAATCGCTTTGACGGTATTTTGGTTAATGTCGGTGGAATTTTCCAGGCGGAATCTAAGATTATGCTTTGCCAATATGCCAGCAATATCTTCATCAATCACCTATTAAATGTGGTCAAATCAGTCAGTGAATAAACTTAATTAGTTTACAAGAATTCTGAAATGAAGGAAAATATACGAACGGGAAAGTATAGTGGTTTCACGCCAAATTCTTCCTCAAATTGTTCCATATATATGTGTCTATAAACAAAAGTTCCTGGTTCATACTGAAGATAATCTTCCTTATTTTTATGGTCAGCAGTAAACCATTCAGTTTGGTCATCATAATTTCCTTTGATTAGTTCACAAACCGTTGTATCTCTGTATTGATCAAATGAGAATAGCATAGCGGCAAGTAACACTAGCAAAGCCGCTCCTGTAACAGGAGTAATTGTCAAAGAAAGTCCACTTGACTTCGCATCTTTCTCATTAACATTAGTCGTTGAGCTTTTTGGGGGCATTTTGAGGGGAAAAAATTGTTTTATTAAAAATATAGGCGAACCAAATTTGTTAGCACAAACTTTCAGACACACTTTTATATATTTTATACATTTCTTGTGCTTGTACTAATAAAGAAGGTCACTTTTGGATTTTTTTACGTGGCAGTCGATTAATGGGAGGAGATAATATTTCTAAATCAAGTGTTGTCTTATCTGGCAAATAATATGTAAATCATTCATTCAATCTCAACAGGTTTAAACGGGTTTAGTTATGCAGTTAATACATTAATACTCTCCCTTTTAACTAATGTTGGTAGTTAATTTTACGAACTTTGTTTCTTGACAAATTTTTGTACAAATTTGTACCACAGAAGACAACATTTGGTGCGGGTCCCCCCTTGGGTACACTTTTGCGTCTACTTCCACTTCACAGCTGCGGAAGATTTCACGTGAGCTGCACGAATTACCGATTTGCTAAATTCTAACTAGAATTATTTTAGGTCATGTGTAAAGAAATTCGATAAAACTGGTCTTTTCTTTCTTTCCAGAAAGTTGCAAACAAACCCGCGTTTGTTTCCTTTCAATTCTAACGAAAAACGATGGATTCTAAAATAGCTCGCGATACCTTTGAGTTTTCCAATAACATTGTTACTGTTGATCCCATCCAGGATCAAATTTACCGTTATAATAACGACGAACAGGTACAAATAAATCAAGAAAAGCCATGGACTAAAGAGTGAGTGGTGTTGAATTTTGCTATTAATGTAAATTTGATATGTTTAAAGTTAACAGTAACAATCAGATCTTAGGAATCTGAACCGTACGCGTGAATTAGAGTAAACATAATGCTTTGATCTAAAGAGAAAACAATAGATCGAAACATATCTTGATTTAATAAATTTGATTTGATTTATTAAACAACTTATGATCCTTTTTTTTATTTCATTCATATCAGCATTCATTACTTTACAAAAGTCAAGATTTCCGCGGTGGCTCTTATAAAAATGGTATTATGTTAATTTGATCAATTTTTAAATTTATTTACGATCATTGTTATTAACCTTGTCTATTTGTGAAGGTCATGCATGCTCGTTCTGGCGGAAATATTGAAGTAATGGGTTTAATGCAAGGGAAAATAGATGGTAGCACGATGATTATTATGGATGCTTTCGCTTTGCCCGTGGAAGGAACCGAGACAAGAGTAAATGCTCAATCTGAAGCAAATGAGTATATGGTTCAATATTTAACAACTATTAGACAGGTTCGTCATAACTAGACTTAATTATTGATTTTAAATATGTATTAATAGGATGATAAATTTCAATAGGTGGGAAGATTAGAGAATATAGTAGGATGGTATCATAGTCATCCTGGTTACGGATGTTGGCTTTCCGGTATTGATGTGAATACTCAAATGACAAATCAGCAGTACCAAGATCCTTTTGTGGCCGTGGTCGTAAGTAAAAACTTATTTTTTTTTTTTGTTTTGTTAATAACGATTCAAAATTTCATAATTTATTAATGATGAGTTTTTTTATTTTTTTTTTTAAAAAAAAAAAATTAACGTTAGATTGATCCTAATCGAACTATATCTGCTGGAAAAGTAGAAATTGGCGCGTTTAGAACTTATCCAGCGGTAATATAAATGAATATTTTACGGATTCTAAAAATAAATATTTTTAAATTTTGTTTTTTCCTTTTATAAAGGGATACAAAGCGCCGGATGAAGGTCCGTCTGAATATCAAACCATTCCGTTGAGCAAGATTGAGGATTTCGGTGTTCATTGCAAACAGTAAATTACCAAACCAAAATTATGTTTAAATTTTATTTAAGCTTTATAATTAAATTTAATTTCTGTCATTATTTGCATATAGATATTATCAACTTGAAATTTCACATTTTAAGTCTACCCTTGACACACATCTGTTAGAATTGCTTTGGAACAAATATTGGGTCAACACACTATCACAATCACCTTTAATTACGGTATCTAATATGTTTTTACAGAATCTTTCTTTGAAATCTGTCAATATTTAAAACTTCTTTAAATCATTTAGAATCGTGATTATTCAGCTGGACAAATTTCTGACCTTGCAGAAAAGTTGGAACAAACTGAAACGCAATTACAACAAAGTGGCAGAGTTTCGGGTTTTCCCGGTGGAATGAGTAGTGGACGTGGAGCTTCCGCTCCCCAAGCTGCTACAGCAACTTCTTCTACGGTTGGAGGTGCTAGCGGTGGTACTGCTACACCCACTCCGGAAAAGAGGAAAGTCGAAGAGAGTCCACTCAGCAAAGTCACTCGAGATAGGTGCGTACTTTGGGTAATTTATTTTCGAATTTGGTTACTTTACTTATTTAACATATTATTATTATTATTTTCTTAATCAATTTATAGTACAAAAATAACCGTTGAGGCAGCTCATAGTTTAATCTCACAAGTGCTCAAGAATGTTTTATTTAATAAACCATAACATCGGGAATATATTATTTTTAATAAATACCATACTGAATGATTTGACATATTATTTTTGGACTTTATTGTAAAATCGGCCGAATTGTATTTTTAGGCTTAAATAAAATAAAATGTGCTAATTTATGGATTTAGCGGTTACGTCAAAATTTGTAAAAGGATTTACAATAAACCTAAATTCTGTTCTTCAGAGCCGATGTCTTATAAAATTCGAATCTATTATATATTGTCTACAACTCAGTTTTTCTTTTTTCAGCTTTATATAACTTACAAAATGGCTGAAGTCTTTGAGGATTTGGTTTTTTCGCTTCAATTGAATTGAAACTTTGTAAGCCTTTTCTGGAAACAAAAATTCCTCAATGTAAAAGAAATCATCATGAGAAATAGGATTCCTTTCCAATAAAATCATTTTAAACAAATAAATATCATATCTCAATCAATAAATATTTCTTCATATTTGATAGTTTTTTCAAAACTCTTGTAAATAAGTAACATATGATTACTAAGTAAACTTAGATATTATTTATTTGGAACCTTTAATTAAAAGTTATATAATTTATTATAGATAAAATAAAAAAAATTTAAAAAGTATAAAAATAACGATTTAAACTAAATATTTCTATATTTTTATGAAACTAACAAATATTTAAATTTTTTAATTAATAAATTTTAATTTTTATTGATAACAATATTATTAATTAAATTTTAAAAATGGAAATTTTACTTTTAAATAAAATATAATTCTGACTCAAACCTAAAATAATATAAATTAGTTAATATTACTCTAATTTTTATACCAACCTTTCATATTTATTTATTAGTTAATAATATTAAATTAGCAAATAATCTTAAAAAAAATTTTAAAGATCTTAAATAATCTTAAGATATTTTAAAATTTTTTAATTTGTTTTAAGATAATTTGAAATTTGTTAATTCTAATTTATAATATTAATAATCTTGATTACTTTATTAAGAGCAAATTATAATATTAATTAAATTTTAATTTTAAAAATAAATTTTTAAAAATATATAATTTATAAAAATTTAAAATAAAAAATTATAAATTTATATAATTAAAAAATAAAATTAACTTAATTTATTAATTTTTAAAATAAAAGTTATTATAGTTATATAATTTATATACTAAAGTAATAGAAAAATGTTTTTCATCTTTTTTATAAGATATTATAATACTAATAATTAATTTATATATTAATTTTATTTAAAAAGAGAATTAACATACTTATTTTGTAATAATGAAATGATTATTTTTATTAATTAAAGTTTTGCATAAGTCAAGCTACTTATAAGTGACTTATTTTAAAATTATCTTAATCTTTAAAATGAGTTATAAGTTAGAAAATCTAATTTATTTTATAGTTTAACTTTAACTTGTTGGTTTACATTTGCTATCTATAAAAAAAAACAAATTCAAAGGTATTTTATTGAAAAAATTACTTTAATAGTAATTACATTTGAAAAAAAATAATCAGCTTCAAAGGTATTTTATTTAAAAACATACATAGTGATATTTCTTAAAAATGGTTTTAAAAAGTATTTCCTTTTTTTTTAAAAAAAAACACACAATATATTTTATAAAAAAAATGCATTTAAGCTATTGTTTTTTAAAAAATCTACTTTCAGGATAATTTTTTAAAAAAGTCATACAGTGATGTTTACTTAAAGAAAATACATTTATTATTATTTTAAAAAAAGAATTAGCAAAATATTTTTTTTAAGAAAATAATTCTTTAAAAAAATTATTTTAAAACCTTTTCTTTAAAGGAATTTATTTTTGAATGATAAAATATTTTTTTTAAAAAAATTTACTTTTAAGGTGATCTTTTTAAAAAAAATCAAAAAGATAATTTCCTTCAAAGAGAACATTCTAAAAGCGATTTTCTTTAAAAAAAAATTAATCAAGTAATACAATTAAATAATTAATTTAGCTAATTATTTGTGAATTAAAAAATTTTAAAACTTTATTTTTAAAATTCAAAAATTTAAAAGTGACGATAATAATTTTGTTAATTTGAGATTTTGATGTCAAAGTGCTTTTGAAATGAACCTATATGATAAAATTTAATCGATACGTAATCTATCATTATTCTAATAATGATAGTTAGAAGGATGAATCATTACATAATATATAATCTATTTTGTTTTATTCTTTTATTCTTTTTCTTTTACAATATATTTTTATTAGATTTTATTTATACAATGATTTGTTAAGACTGTCACAGAAAATCTTTTTAAACAATTGTTATGAATAAAGTAAATGGAAAATACAGAAAGTGAATAACAAAATAGATCATGATGATATTAATCTATTCAACTTAGCTCTTTAAATCCAGTGTTGGAAAATAATCCAGTCACTTTTTCAAAATGAGATAACATGATTTTAGGCTTTGAAGTCATAGTTTTATTTGCTGTGCCTCCAATACTATATAAATTCAAACTAAATATGTAAAAAAAAAATTATATCAGTATTAGTTAATCAACCCTTATAAGATGTCTCAAGAACCACATATTTTTTCGCACATTACTTTGTACTTATTAAAAATACTAAAATAAAGAAAATGTCATTGTTAGTATATAAAAACTATATCAAAAATTGCGATAGAGGATTAGGAATAGCTAAATTAAAACCAGAATACTGCACTTCTAATAAAGCAAAATTATATCATTCACATCTAGCAAAATGTAAAAATTTTAAAGAAATTTATACTGAAGAAGCAGTAAAACAAGTGCTTAATCAACTAGTATCTGAAGATTAAGTTAGAAAATATAAAAGGTTTGTTATTTATAAAATGATTTATTATTTTATTTATTATTGAATTATTTTTTTAAAATTAATAGATGATAAAAATAATTTTAATGTTCTATTAACTAAACGAAAAAAACTTATAATAGCAGATACCAATCAACTTTAATATCTTACCAATGTCAACAAATGTGTTTCATGGTTTGAAAGTTTTATTTTATAGATGATAATATCTAATGGCCAACTTTTTTCATTTGTGAAAAATGAAGAAACTAAAGCACAACTTGAATTTATTGCACTTGGACTTATTCTTTCTAATCATAAAGAAATAGGTGATAGAATTTTAATATTTTAATGAATGCAGCTAATACTTTTCAAAAAATATTATAAAATTAGCAAGCTTTTGATGGAATAATTTATTTTTTTTTTGATTTTTTTAGCCAATCAAATTATTCAAATCATTTTTCTTATCACTATCGTATCATTTATTAATAATAATAATGCGCTTTTCCAAAATTGCTACCTTTTTTTGTTTATTCGATATAAATATGCTTAAGCATAAAGAATCAAAATTTGGAACTACTATGGTTGATATTTTTCTTAATTATCTTCTTTTTCGAGAGGATGAAAAAAATTATGAATTTACTATTATTACCAACACAGCAAATTTTATCAAAAATTTTAAAAAGGATATTAAAGAGAAAATTAAAGGGCAGGGAATGATATTTTCAACCATATTGAAGCTGATCAGTTAATGCTTTGGCAGGTATAGATTGGTAATAGCGATAAAGAATTATCGAACTTTAACTCAGATGCGAAGAGTAAAATATAAAAAATCTCGAAGGGATTATTGGTGATTACTAGTCTGGACAACTTCGTAAAGAGTTTACCCATGTCATTATTTACTCTTCATATTTAAACATTTTACGAAGGCTGGATAGTTTAACGATACCGAGTCAAGGTAATTCTAGCTGATCTCTTTTTTAATCAAGATATTTATAATTCAAACGAGATACATTATAAACACGGCTCAATAAAAATCATTTAATATCAGTAGCTTTAAATCCTACAAATATATCTTTATAATAGCTTTATAACGAATAATATATCAAACAAGAAAATATATTGTATTACAATAGAACAAATATAGAATTTACACACAAATGCAAGGTTTATATTATTTACCACTCTTATTATAAAATGTTATAATAAATTCTTTCTAAATTGACTGAACATAATTTTTTTTGATCAGAACAAAGATATTTACAATGTTAAGAAACTTTCGGTTATTCTTACCTTTGCTGACAATAAGAGAAGGTTAGTATCATTTGATAGTTTATCTGAGCTCGAATTGTATATTCTCAAATCGGATGATCATTTTAAAAATATCACACAGGTTACTAGAAGTACCTATGATTTGTTTTTCATTATTGATAAGGATGTGAATAAAGGAAGCATTACTGAATTATGTAAACAATATATTAAAAACAAAACAATAAATCTGACAGATTAGTATGTTAGAATATTTAAAATATTTAAAATATTATAACAAACCAAATTATCTTCTAAAATATAATACATAGAAAAAGGAGAAAAAATGGAAATGAAAAACCAAAATATGGATCTAGAGAAGCTCGGTGAACGTAATATTCTCCCAGTCTTAGATTCTATTCAATTTAAATTGCTTAATAAGGCTAAAATAAGTTTCTGATGAAATTTAAAAAGAAAGTTCCATTTTCTTGTGTATGTAAAGGATTAGTGAATGAAAAGAAAGTTATCGTTGCCTTCGTGAATCAATCAAAAGGGACATCTGTCTACTTACCAGCTGAATTTAAGAGCTTCCCTGTGTTAATTTCCTATGAAGCTTTTGAATTATACCATCATTCATTTCACAAAGACCTTATACCTGACATAATTATTGGTAATTTAGTTTAAATGCAATTATACTTTGTCCTTTATTTCAAATTACTACAAAATCTAATAAAACATTTATATTAATTGCAAAGCATATAGTGAGTAAAATAGTGGTTTATCCAGAAACACTTGAGAAGTTATACGTTAAATTATATTTATTTTTTTTGGCAGTTTTTAATGACTAAGGTTAACGCAAGTGTTTGTGCTAAGGTCACAATGTACAATTTTATTGAAGCTGATCTGACTTGTCATTTATTGATCATGCTTTTTGTGAAATAGTAAAAAATTCCAAAAATACCAAATATGCTATTTGGATAGCATAT